TGGCTGCATAGCCATACCCACCACTAGCTCTTATTATCAGGGTAGGGCTTATATTGCTTATATTTAACAAATGCATAGAAATCCTGCTAGGGCTTATTTTTTGAGTAGGTCTTATTTTCGGGGAAACACGGTAGCATTCTACCAAGGGCAACAAAGTGAGACTCTGTCTCAAACAAAGAAACAACAACAATGACGACAAAAAACAAAAAACCAACAACAAAAGTAGAAATGAAACTTGGTGCCTGTGGCTCAAGTGGCTAAGGCGCCAGCCACATACACCTAAGGTGGCAGGTTTGAATCCAGCACAGGCCTGCCAAACAACAATGACGGCTGCAACCAAAAAAAAAAATAGCCGGGTGTTGTGGCGGGCGCCTGTGGTCCCAGTTACTTGGGAGGCTGAGGCAGGAGACTTGCTTGAGCCCAGGAGTTGGAGGTTGCTGTGAGCTGTGAGGCCATAGGACTCTACCCAGGGGGACAGCTTGAGGCTCTGTCTCAAGAAAAAAAAAGTAGAAATGGTCTACAGTGCCCAAATTTCTTTAAGGAAATGTCAATTTAAAAATCACACCTGTAATCCCAGCACTGTGGGAGGCTAAGGCCAGTGGATTGGTGTGAGCTATGAAGGCATGGCATTGTACCAGGGGCAACAAAAGTGAGACTCTGTCTCAAAAATAAATAAATAATAAAATAAAAATCAACCGTAATTCTAGCACTCTGGGAAGTCGAGGCAGTTGGACTGCCTGAGCTCACAGGTTCGAGACCAGCCTGAGACCTCATCTCTAAAACTAGGCGGGTGTTGTGTCAGGCGCTTGTAGTCCCCAATATTTGGGAGGCTGAGGCAAGAGAATCACTCGAACTCAAGAGTTTGAGGTTGCTGTGAGCCATGACGTCACAGCAGGACTCTCTCTTTAAAAAAAAAAAACGTAGTACATGCCTTTTATTTTTTGGTACAAAGTTTTTCTTCCTCGCTTGATACTTTTTTTCTTGTAGAGACAGAGTCTCACTTTATGGCCCTTGGTAGAGTACGATGGCATCACAGCTCACAGCAAACTCCAATTCCTGGAATTAGATGATTCTCTTGCCTCAGCCTCCTGAGTAGCTCGGACTACAGGTCACAACACTAGGCTATTTTTTTGTTGCAGTTTGGCCGGGGTCAGGTTTGAACCCGCCACCCTACCCACTGAGCACAGGCGCTGCCCCGCTTGATAATTTTTTTAATACTTCCACAAGTTTGGCATCTCTAGATGGATAAAGACATATGGTTACTACTTTGAATACTTTTTTTGCATGTGAATAATGTATACCTTAAGCAGATATTATACTCATAGGCATAAAAGAAAAAGAAAAAATACATACCTAATAGTATCCTTGATAATTCCTTTAAAGTTTAAAACACTGATAATTCTGCTTTAATATTTCTTTTTTTTTGGGAGACAGAGCCTCAAGCTGTCGCCCTGGGTAGAGTGCTGTGGCATCACAGCTCACAGCAACTTCCAACCCCTGGGCTCAAGCGAGTCTCCTGCCTCCGCCTCCCAAGTAGCTGGGACGACAGGCGTCCGCCACAACACCCAGCGATTTTTTTTTTGGTTGCAGCCATCGTTGTTTGGCAGGCTCGGGCTGGATTTGATCCCACCAGCTCTGGTGTATGTGGCTGGCGCTTTAGCTGCTTAAGCTACAGGCACTGAGCCATTCCATCTATTTCTGTCTAGGAGAGTAAGATCAGGACAGGAGTCCCTTTTTTCCCATAGCAGATATAAACACATGTATAGGGATGAACATGTACGTGTTTATTTATTTACATTCTTTAATAAATGTAGATAACACACACAACATACAAAGGAGGACAGTCTAGATATAAAGTATCTGACAATATGATTACTGGAAAATGCAGCTCACCCTGTAAGAACATCTTACCACAAGAAATTAATAATTTTCAAAGCTGGCAAAATTTAATGTCAATTCTGCATTTTTTTTTTTTAAATTCAGGCTACAGGTAGGTTGATAGGGTATAGGAATACTTAAATAAATATCAACTGGGTTGCTATATTAGGCTTACCTTACAGCTTTGAAAAACTCTGATTTCTTGTGTGTTTCAGTGGTGAGCTGCATTTCCTGAGTGTCGGTCAACTTTCCAGCAGGAATTCCAGTCTGATGAAGAATCAGCAAAAGGAAGCCCTCACTGAGAGACATACTGGTATCATTCACTGAATGAAGATAGTGAAAGAGTAACATATTTCTAAAGGCAGTTACACTATCAATATATATGCTTACTTTAAAAAATGCCATTTTAATTTCCCATGGCAGAAGGAACAGTTAATTTTCCTTGAAAATCTGACTGCTTTTTCTTTTTAATTATTATTATTATTATTTTGAGACAAAGCCTCAAGCTGTCCCCCTGGGTAGAGTGACCTGGCATCATAGCTCACAGCAACCTCCAACTCCTGAGCTCAAGTGAGTCTCCTGCCTCAGCCTCCCAAGTAGCTGGGACTACAGGCACCCACCACATCGCCCGGCTATTTTGGTTGTAGCCATCATTGTTGTTTGGCGGGGCCCGGGTTGGATTTGAACCCACCAGCTCAGGTGTATGTGGCTGGAGCCTTAGCCGCTTGAGCCACAGGTGCCGAGCCCTGACTGCTTTTTCTATAAAGCATTTTTTTTACCCTACTTACCTCTTTGGGATGGTATTTACTCATCCTAGTTTGCCCTTTAAATGCCTTTCTTTTTTATTTTTTATTGTTTGGGATACATTGAGGGTACAAAGAATTAGGTTATACTGATTGCATTTGTTAGGTAAAGTCCCTCTTTAAATGCCTTTCTAAAAAATAAAAACAAAAACACCTTTATGTCTTATTCTAATCAATACTGATGACATATCTTCTAGCTTAACTCTGAGATTGTTCATGTTGTCAGCCTAGCTCATGGCAACCTCAAACTTCAGGGGTCCAGTGATCCTCTTGCCTCAGCCTCCTTAGTAGCTGAGACTATAGGTGCTGCCATGATGCCTGGCCAATTTTTCTATTTTTAGTAGAGATGGGGTCTTGCTCTTGCTTGTCTAGAACTCCTAACTTCAAGGGATCCTCCCACTTCTGCCTCCAGAGTGCTGGGTATAGGCATGAGTCACAGTGCCTGGCCTAAAAACATTTTGGTTGAACAAAATTTTGAAGTGAACACTATAAAGAAAAACATGTTTTCTAAGATGTCTTTAACACAGTAATTCATAATAGTATATAGAAACTCTGACTTAGAAAGAAATAGAACTTTTTTTTTTTCTTTTTGAGACAGAGCCTCAAGCTATCCCCCTGGGTAGAGTGCCATGGCATCACAGCTCACAGCAACCTCCAACTCCTGGGTTCAAG